GCATTACCACGGGATCAGGTCCCAGAAGAGCTATGTCGTCTGCGTATTCGATATCTGTGAGCGGAGGCCCAGGGAGCACTTCGACCCCACAGACATTAGAGGCTGGTAGTGCGTCTTCCCCGTACTACTAGTAATCGTGCTACCAGGTGATCTGGAAGTAAAGTACTATCCTCTGTGACGGGAGTGTGATGGTAGTAAGGTGTTTGCCCAAGGTAACCAGCATGGCCATGTTTATGGAAGCAGCAATCCTGGCTTCCCTCGAAGATGGACGGGTTAGAAAAGGTTGGTCCAAAAAAAACACACTTCGATCGCCCAACTGTTGACCGTGGCCGCCGACGCATTAACCAATACAGTCCAAATACTTTAAAACCTAAAGAGTCCGGTGCTGCTCAAAAGTCACTTGCTGCGCACAGCTGCATCAGGAATGGGACAGCGATGCCTTATTCCCTGCACCCTCGGGTTAGACCAACCCTCTGCAGCCGAGCAGGTCAGACTATTGAGTCCTCGGTCCTTGCAGGGTCCCCAAAGAAACCCACACTGTCCTCTGCCTCGTGGATCAGACTTTTGAGTCAGAGGCTCAATGTGGGGTAGCTCAACCAAACCCCCTTCCTCGGCCTGGGTAACCGGGAAGTATCGTTTGCCCGCGCAGTCCGGTGTCCACCTATGTTCCTCCCCAGCCCCCTCCCACCACACAAGCAAACTTTGCCGGTTTATGTGGTTGTCAGTTATCTGACTAGTTTGCCTTAACAATAAACAAGATAATACCTTACCAAATCCACAAGATCCTTCGTACATAGAAGCTTGCAACGTCCGTACTCTATATCAAATTGGAAAACAAACACTTGCCGAAACCTTATACTCCCTTAAAATTGATGTATGCTGTCTTCGGAACGTGTACAAGACCCGAGCGTGGTTATACACCTCAAAACGCCAAAGATGAACTCAAATGTTTCATATTTCTCCCTAAGCATGTCCGGTTACACAGAAACGACGAATCATGGAATGTTTGACGTGAAAGTTGTACTCGGTCCCAGAGTTGAACGCGCTTTGCTGGACTGAAGCCCGGTGAACAGTCGTCTTTGCGCCATCCGGTTCTCCAGTTCAATCAAGCTCAATGCCTCGGCATAAAAAGCGGTGCCTGTTTGTAGTGTCGGCTTATGCTTCAACGAACTGCGGTTCTGATGCTGAGAAGGATACTTGTTATCGAGATATATCCGAGCTCATTCGTCAAGCAAAGAGCACTGACATTGTGACCCTTGCGGGTAATATGAGTGCCTAAGTTGGTCGTATGGGCGGTTGATTTGGAGTTGATGCTGGTTACACAGATAACGGAGTGCGAATCCCCCAGTTTTATGCTGACCATGAACTGTCTCTGGCAAGTACGAACTCTCAGCATAAACGCCGGCATCTCGTAAACTGCCAGCTGAAAATCAACCATGGACCCAGTTGGACCACATGGCCATCAGCTACCGGTGGAGAGCCACAATTCAAGACTCGTTCCTTCTGTGGCATACAGCTTCATTCTGATCACGCCATGGTGCGTGCACGCCTGATAGTTATTCTCCCTTCAGGTCCCCGCAAGTCAGCAAGACGCATGCTGATGCACCATCTTCGAAGAACTACAATAGCTCAACAGTATCGATGTGAGCTAGCTCAACAACTCTACAATAAACCAACACTACTAGTAACGAGCACCTGGATAAAGCGCTGCAAAATGTGAAAGGTGGTGTGTTAGTGGCGTTCAGTGCTGTGTGCCCGGCTTCTCCAAATCGACCACAAGACCATTGGATTCGTCCAGATCGCTATCCATGGTTTATGCAAGAAAATCCATACCAGCAGGCAACAAGTACGACGGCGCACGGAAATCCATCAAACACTAAGTGGTGAAGAGTCTAAGGGCCGAGAGCTCTTGTGGACAACGAAAGCTCGGGAGATGGAGAAGGCTTTCGTTACTGGGAACAGCCGTGCCGTATATTAAATGGCTTTAGGAAAGCAACGATCAGTGGAATGGTAAGTGAAAAAGGCGGCTCATTATTTCACTCACAAAAACATCGACTTGAAAGACGGACCAAACACTTCGAAGAACAGTTCAGCTGGCCTCCTGCAAAACAGCCTGTGGAGATACTGCATACGGACGAGTGGAATGTAAACGATGGTTGCCCCCCCCCCGGAAGAGGAAATGAAGTACGAAATATTCGTGCTAAAACCGGACGGTCTGTATCCAGCCCTCCTCAAAGAAGGCGGAGAATCTCTGGTGGTCCATCTGACAAAGCTTATTGATGCTATATGGAATGAAGAGAAGGTGCCTGCAGAACGGGCGTGTCGACAGTTATCCTTATCTTCAAAAAGCGTACGCGGACGCTGTTTGAAAACCAACGTGGCATCAGCCTGTTAGTTGTAGCATCGAAGGTGCTCTCTGGCCTTATCTTTCGAAGGTTGAACGAACACGAAGTGAGACAGATCCGTGAAAACCAAGCTGGGTTGCGTCCTGCAATAGGATGCATCGATAACATCTTTACTCCCCGACATATTGTGGAACAGTGACACTGCCTCCAGCAACCAACAATGGTTGTGTTTCTTGATCTGAAAGCTGCCTTTGACTTTGTGGTCCGTCAGGCACTATGGCAGTTTCTACGGAGCAAAGGTGTCCCCCATAAATTCTTCACCCACCTCAGGGCGCCTTACGCCAAGTCCTGAGGCCTTGTGAAGGTCTATTGGAAACTTTCGCCTGATTTCACCTCATCAAGTGTTGCCAGACAGGGCTGTCCTTTTTCACCTTTCCTCTTCAACTTCGTCATTGATACGACCATGAAAGACTCACTGTCACCCTCTAATGCCTGTGGGGTCGAAGTGCTCCCTGGGCGTCCGATCACAGATATCGAGTACGCAGACGGCATAGCTTTCCTTGGACCTGACCCCGTGATAATTCAAACAGTATTAAATAATAATAATAGTAATAAATATTTAATAATCTAAATAATTCACGGTTCGGCATGCGATTCACACCTGCAAAGTGTAAAGTTCTACTGCAGGACTGGGTGAGCTCGAACCCTAGCCTCATGCCTGCTAATGAACCGATTGAGGTAGTAGACAAATTTATTTACCTGGGCATCTGTATCAGTCCCGGTGGTCCCTTGAAAGATGAAATTTCCATCCGGATTGGGAAGGCCAGAGAACCTGTGGTGTTTGCGTGACATCAGCTTCTCTGTCAAGGGTCGCGTTACAATGCTGAGGTGCGCTCCATATTACTGTATGGATCAGAAACCTGGCCACTGCGCGCCGAGGACGTCAAAAAACTTTCAGCGGTTGAACATCGATGTCTTCGGAGCATTGCCCGAATCTGGTGGGAACACGGGATCAGCAATGCTGAAGTACGTCGAATGGTATTCGGAAGAAATAGCTCACCCGCGATAGATGAACTAATCACACTGCACAGGTTGCGCTGGCTTGGCCACGTGTTGCCAGTCGACCGACTTCCTCGAAGGGCTCTGTTAGCACAACCACGTGAAGGGTGGAAGAGAGCCAGAGGCGGTCAAACAATCACTTGGCAGCGAAGTATGAAAGCCATTACCAGCAAGCTCAGCTGCGCTGGTCATTGCCGTCTTTCTGGATGGGGACGCCGAGACGGGTCACATCAATGGTTAGAGACTTTGTCAGACGTGGCCCAGTCGTGCCCTCAATGGCGCTCGTGCATCCAAGCTGTTGCCTTCAATGCATAGCTCCTTTTCCAAACCCCCTCCCACTTGAGAGTGCTGGATTTATGCACCAATTTATCAGCTCCCGCCTGCAATGCGCAGCTACCTACCCCCCCCTCAAACCATCGGTGAACGAAACTGCGGCAGCTGCAACAACTGTACGACGAGTACGCGGTTATTACAGCTGACAATGATGATGATGATGACGGGGTCACGCTGCTTTGTCTGACTGTTCTCCTTTGGCCTTCCTGGCATGGCTGCACCTTGTGGAACGACGTTCCAGCCAATGTAGCCCGCGGGATCATTGCAGCACTCAAGCCCGATCACCACGTCAAGGTAGCAGCTTTAGGCCGGGGCAGGATTTTCCACAATGTCCCGATAGAATCTCTATCAGGGACGAGAAGGGTCGAGCCACAGATGCGCGATCCCGTCCAGCCAATGTGAGCAGCTGGCTCTCGGACACTTCACCCTTGAGGGCGCTGCTTAATCCCAGTTCTTACGACTAGGGAGGCGACTCAGGCGGCTACTGTCACTCGTCGGCCCATCCACGTGGCAGTAAGCATGCTGATCTGGGTTCGGGTGCCTTCCACCTTGGAGGATGCCACGGCTGTCCGGTATTCTATGCAACTTAGTTGCATGGTGGGGGCACAGTCTTTTGTTTGAAACTGATTCGCTTGGTGTAGCCGTGCCTGTGATCAAACTTGCACCGCGTGTTTGACACAGTATTCGACCCTGTATGCCCTAAAATCGGCATCTAAAACCTGCATGACTGCTGTGGTGTCCCTTTTTCCGATCCTTCCCTTCTTGACTCTTCGGAAATGGATGGGACTATTCGCCTAAAAGTGGGAATGTTGACTGAACGATGGGGACCTGAATACAACGTTGAAAGCTGCCGGCTGGATTCGCCAGAGTGGACCGAAATGAGGTTTACCGGTGCCGGGCGCCTCGAGCTGAATAGTCGCTGCGTCACATATGCACCGACTGGTCAGGTTGGCCGTAACACTAACAACCACAAAATCATCAGGATGTAGTTTCCCCTAAAACGTATTCCAGCTGTTTGCAGTTGTTTCGTTACAAACGTCATTGAGCGGTTCATCCAAGAGCTGAAGCTCGTCAGTCCAATGCAGGCCTCAGAGATCGAGGGCTGTATAGTTTATGAGTTATCAGCAGCAGTTGAAGTACATCACACTGAACTTTATGGAGCAGTTCAGCTTACCGGTCAGTTTAAAGTTTCGACCGGACACATTACGAACGGTCTATTTGTCTTCCACCAGTAGCCTTCCAGTTATGTTTAAGGTTTGTTTTGAAATTGGGGTAAGGTCAAAACCTGTATTTAGTTGGAGGATAACCGGTGTGCCGCTGATACTCACCGTGACGATTTTAATCAGACGGGTGATTACTTCCTGAATGTTGCGGTAAAAACCGTTGAGTGTGTTCTTCCCTGAAGCGAGCGTTTGCACAAGCTCCTGGAGTTGTTTCTGCAGCATAAATCATGGCCTTTTCGAGTACATCTGCTGAAAATATGGTTTTCGTATCAAAAAAGCAGGTTGTCGGCGGTTTCCTTGGGGCCCGCTTGGAACCGGATCGCCTTTTGGAACTCACTTTGGATACCATATCAGACTGAGAGGACGGAGAATGTCCATTCATTGCAGCATCGGCCTTGAGATTGATAAACTTCTGGGATTCGGTAGTAAGTTTCTGAATTATTTACATTGGGTCCTGTCTGATTCGATTCAGTAGCCGGGGAAAACACCTGCATTTTTTTGGCGATTGAAGGCCAGTCACGAAGATGGGACACTTGAATTGATCTTCAGTCATAGTGTTAGGCTTAAGAGTTCACGTGCATGCCGAAACCTTCGGAATTCCTTACTATGCTCTCCAAATGCTGATAACAAATACTGAGGAGGAGGCTTTTCTCGCCGAGTATCCGGGCCAGGAGCTTGATGGTATCCGCAAGGCCAAGGAGTTTGGGGGACGAAATTTATGAACCGGCCATGCTAACCTGCCTCCATTTTCCACAGCAACAGTCAATGTTCCCTTATATTATCGAACTAAGCAGTCAGTTTGCAACGTTTCCTCATATCCGCTGAATCAACGTACAAACATTCGTCCAGATTCTGAGCCGAAATTGAGCACATCAATCGAGTTAGGAGCAGCATCTTTGGAAGAAAACATACTACTACGCATACTTTTCATATCGGCTTTGTTGCTGTAGTAGGAGCATTTTGGGCTACTCTACTGAAGGCAACAACGTGGATTCTGGTTGCCCCCAGTTGTTATGCTATGCTGACGGTGGAGCAGCTCGCATGTCACGGATTGATACACAGGATCGAGGCTTTTGCCAAGTTTCCCGGGTCGGTTTTGTTCTTGTCGTTCAGCGGCTATCGTTCACCTGAAAGGCACAATTGAAAAAAAGGTTGTAGCACTGCTCTTTATGTTCTCAGCGCGGGGCAGTATGCTTGCAAGCGCGAGGATTCGCATAAATAAATGTCTAGTAGTGCTTTGAACTGGGTTCTAGGAGCGTGGACAACCGTCGGAGGAAGGTCATTTCACGCATTTACTACCCGAAATGAGAAAGAAATCTGCCTGATGAATGTGTGCGTTCTGGGCTTGCAAACCTCCTTACTATGTCTCCGCCGTGTGTTTGCTGGGTCAACGGTGAAAAACCTGTTGGCCAAGCTTTGTTCAAACAGGGCATAAGGAAGAATTAGGTTCCTCGAAGGCGACGATACCCTAGGGGAAAGAGATCACGCATCGCGAGACGGGTTCCGTAGTCCACGGATTTGAGGCCGATCATTCAGATCCGCCAAATGTCGTGCGTCAAAAGACACAGTAGCTCGAGACAGCGGCTGATGCTATTACCTGGTAAACAACCTCTTGTTCGTTCGTCCCATACGAATTAGACATGCACAATAAATATCTCATTTGCGACCGTATAGTTACACGTAGTCGCTGGATGACGCATTTTGTATCACTGATTTGTGTCAAAAACACTCGCGTCACATGCATGTAGAGTCCGTGTAAGTCAACGGGGATTGTATTTAAAAAAGCGTTACACTTTAGGCCAAGACGGAATGGAACAGAAACAAACAGTTTGAAACGCTGTTGCAGCGCACGTAAACCAATTTGAGGTTATATTTGTTGCTAAGATCCTATGAAGCCTTTCATGAGCACCTCAGAGGTCCCGAAAATGAAAAATCGAAAAGTTGTGGTAATAGTGACATTCCGAGACAGGCTAAGATCCTATGAAGCCTTTCATGAGCACCTCAGAGGTCCCGAAAATGAAAAATCGAAAAGTTGTGGTAATAGTGACATTCCGAGACAGCTGCTTGGTCGGTCAAAAGAAGACCATCATAACCGTATTTATGGGTTCATTAAAGCGACTCACAAGGTCCCGCTGGGGTTTTCGCAGCGGGGCGAGGTGCGTCGAGCTACAGGTCTAAATCCTGATTGGATGGCATTCTAACCAATCAAGACATCCCTTTGTTCAGTCCGGGGTCCGCAAGTGAAACATCCAACAAATCGATATGATAATCGGTGTTACCCGCCTCTACCCCCGGGCATTCCAACATGCCAATTTATGTGACCATGGCCATAATCCCGAGCTCATGCATTCTCGGCCCGAAAAGAGGCTTCGTGGAGTTGTTGAATAGAGGCGCCCAATTTTCAGCACAAAACTAACATGCAAAAGACGCCAACAGCTCGAGGCACAATGCATTTTTCTGCAAAACCCCTGCGGGTGAAATAAAAACTTTAACGTCAAAATGTTTCACTTCTTTGCGTATATGCTCAGTCTGAAAACCCTCTCATTTGCCGTCATTTTTTTGCGATTTGTTTTAATCGATATCATTTGAAAATTATTGGCGCACATTCGGCTTTGAACTTCGTCTGCTATGGCCTCGGAAGTAGCTTTCGTTGAGAAATTTGTGGATGTATCGTTTCCATCCTTCACTGCATTTGAGAAGACCTTAAATGAACACATGAAGGATAACTCTGTAGTATTTGTGCGTTCATCCAGTATTCGTAACCCCAAGCTATTTTGCGTTACGAATGGGTGTACTACAAATGCAGCAGGCGCCCTTCAAGACCAACGGAAAGCCGTGGAATCCAAAGAAGCTAGTAAGCCGAGCGTATTTTCTAATAAAAATAGTACGCGAAGCACCAGCTGTCTAGTGCGGTTTTGTCTACGGAGGCAAAGGAACCAACTGGCAGTGACCTCTTATTTTCTGGAACACAACCACAAACTGTCAACGTTTCCGTACGATCGGCTCCTAGTCAGTGGACACCTAACCGAAGAGGAGTTGGGCACATGCAAAGCCATGCTGAGATATGGAACGCCGTCATCTGAGGCGCGGCAGTTTGTGGCGGATGAGTTCGGAAAAATCCTCACCACTAAGGATATACACAACTACCGCCGGAAGTGTCGACCGGCTGTGTTGAGTAGGTGCCGCACGGTTGAGTTTTAATGCAACAGATGATATGCCTTCGGTCCTGGCAAAACTTCGGTGGGCCGGACGGGTCCTTGTGTGTCAGGCAGAGGGAGGTCACTATAGCCACGTGGTTCTCCCGACGGCATCAGATAGCGTTATTCCGACGCTTTCCAGATGTAGTAAATGTAGACGGAACGCAGTCAACAAACCGCCTCCGGTAAGTTTTTTAAAGCATCTAATATTCGGCATTTAGATATAAACTATACACATTCTTGATGACGGACGGCATGGGAACCAGGCGTCCGGTTATGTATGCGTTTGTAGAGAGCGAGCAGTTTGCTCCCATGCGTAAACTG